CAAACGCTGATGTGATAATACAAAATATGATCGGCAAAATGATCGACATGTGATATAAGTATGTCCACCCTGCTATCGATGCCCTACAAGAATTTTTGAAGGAACGCACGCTTTAGAATGTTTTTACATTAAGTGAACAATTAAAGTGCCGTGGAATTGAATTTACTGTACATGGGATTAGGAAATTTATCAGTTAATTTATTGTAACTCTTAAATATTTACAATATATTTAATAAAGCAAGCGCAGATGCGCTGCCACGAAAATAATCACATTATTTATTAATAATCAAAAAATCTGTTAAATTCTAAATAATAATTAAAAAAAAATTCTTTACATCACTAATAAAATTATCAAAAACAAAATCTTAAGCAAAAAAATTTTTACTTGACACAACATATACATTTTTAAAAAAATCATAAATAAAATTAATAATAAAAAAAGAATTATCGGTATTTCGTCTTAAATATTTTATTTTTTTTTATAAATATTTAACAAAAAACAAAATGTCTCATTTAAAAAAAATCCGCATCCATAAAATAAAGTTTTGTTTAAAAAAAATATATAAAAATCAATAATTATATTTCGTCACCACTGTATATAAGTTAACCTGTCACACATTTTGGATATGCCTATTTACAATTGATGACGTAACCCGTGAGAAGATGGACTTGGCCAATCTTTTGTTTTCTCAGCCACCCATCTTGGAAAGTTATAAAACGGTTCTCCAAACCATGTTTATCAAGTATTCTTATCAGCAGATTCAGTTGAAGATAAAGATTCAGTTCATCAAAATCTTTATCCTGTTGAATTTTTAAATACTTTAACACCAAGTGGATCAGTTTCTTTCCAAAACATTTTGCGATTTGGTATGTACATGTATTAGTATTTTTTTTTTTTTTTTTTTTTTTAAAAAAGAGAACATTTGTAAGATTTGAAAAAAGGTTTGAAGGTTATTAAAAAATATTTATAAATTATTTTTTAGAATTTTTTTTAAAAAATGTCAACAAAATTATCTAGACCAATGCGTATCAAGACTTCCTTCTTCTCTTACCATAAACGTCCTTACTTCCATCCTTGCCCCTACTTCGACAGCTTTACCTTCTTTTATTCCTTCTTCTTCTACAGCTGTCGCTTCTTCTGTTCTGTCTACAGCTGTTATTTCTGTACCTCCCCTTCCCATTGTTTTAGTTTCTTCCCCTATCCTTGTTTTAGTTTCTCCCCCTCCCTTTTACCACAACAGCAGTAGCTCAACCTCGCCCTATTGCTCGTATTCTAGGTGGCCAGTGCCGATGGATCTTGATCCACCTGTCATTTTTGTTGACCCCTTATATTCCCCCACCTAGACAATGGCCAGAGCCAATGGATCTGGATCCTCCTGACATTTATATTCCGTTGATTATGGTTTTTACCCTTTCCCCCTTCGTTTTTAAATGGTCACCTCTCCTTCTTTGTCGTTTTTGCACTAGTCTATTTTTTTCAAAAAAAAAAATCAAAAAAAAATTAAAAAAATTAAAAAAAAATATTCTCCCCTTTGACAAACTTTCACTAGGGTGCTTTTGATCAGCATGACTACGATACTACTGTATATCGTATCTATTATATGAAATCGGCGTGAAATTATTATATTTATTTTATAACCTTATTATATTCGTATGCATTTTCTTTATTTTCAACTCACCTCAAATGAGTCTTCGAGACTCAATTATTTTAACCTGAACGAAGCTTGCCACCTCTACGCGGTGTTCAGGAGAAACAGTTGTAGGTTAACCTGCATCTGGCTAAAAGCAAAGCAAATACTTGTTATATTTTAATAAAAGATTTTTTTATAATAAAAATAATAATAAAAAGTTTAAATTGTGTCTAAAAATTGATAATCGATTCTGAACCCGAAAGCAGAATAATTAACTAAACCTGTAATAGGGTCCCAAGCATTACTTATCCTTAAATTTCCTAACATTTCGAATAGAACAGAACACTATAAAAATTTGATATATAAAATAAATGTCGTCATTGAAGAACAATGAATCAAAAACGATTCTTTTGTATTAGCCGATATTTTTATTAGCAATCTTCAGCAATGAGTATAAATACTTTATAAAGAAATTTTTTTATCTTATGATTTTTAATTTAAAAATAAAGATTAATAATATACGTGATCTTTTTACATTGCTGATATTGGCCGCTAGATTTACTTCCATCAAAATAAATTAATAAAAGGTTATATTATTATTCTGTATAAGTAATGTTTTTTTTATTTCATATTATTGTTGGTTAAATTTTAAAAATCGTCAAAACCAGTTGGTTATTTAAAAAAAAAATTGGTTAATCTTGAAAAATTTGAGAAGTACATTACATGATAAAATATAAAAAAAAACTATTCTTTTATCATTATTAAAAAAAAAAAAAAAATTTGAAATTATTTCAAAATTTGGACGTGCGATGTATTATATAGTCTACTGTTAAATTTTATTATTAAAAGTTTTGTTTATAATTACTAATTTATTATTTATCATTAATGATTTAGATGTAAATTATCAAATAATCTTTCAAAGTTATATTCTCATTCGATTTCAAACTGCTTTCATATCCACTCTTCTCTCTTATACAACGTTAATCACCTCTTTGACGCTCAATTGTAAGATAAAAACTACCGCTCTTCATAACATTTCAAATTATAAAGGCTGATTGGATCTACAATAGACATTAGATTACTACAACTACAAATTGCAGAATGGCTCCTAGCATCACCTCTCTGTAAATGGCTTCATCATAATTCAAGACCTCTTAAAGATTGGATTTCAGTTTTCTTATCATCTCTTAACAAAATAAACTTTAGTTTTACCATCCACCTATTCCATGATGATAGAGTTAGAGGTGAATCTCATACATGCTAAATTTAATCAGACAATATATAGAAAGATTATTCCAATACTTTGGCTTAAGGGACTGATATACTGTGACCAATTTATTTCAGCTAATGGACAAGCCTTCTTCTACCTATGCTGACACTAAAGTCTATGATAATTGAAGCAGGATTGACAAATGACCAGGTCTTTTGATAAACAGTTTAACCATCAGATAATAATCAGGTCTTAATAGTCTATTGTTTAATTAGTCTATGTAGCATAGCTTGCATTTTTATTAGCAAATGACCAAGGTCATTTGAGGTCATTTGTGATTATAGATCTATGAAAAAATAATAAATAAACTTCTAATTAATCAGGTCTTAAATAAAATTGATTATCATATAATATTCTTTTTCATTTTTTTTTAAAAAGTTTTCTTTATTATATTCAGTTTTCAATTGATATTATTATAACTACAAATAATATTTTCACTCTTTTTTTTAAATAATTTTATAAAATGCTATCAATACAAAAAAAAATATTAATAATTATAATGATAGTAAAGAATTACATGTTGGTGATCCTATCCGCCTCCCATATATTAAAATTTATACCTAACCTGAAAAATTTATACTTTGCCTGAATTTTTTTACATTTAAGATAAGACTTAGTGACCCTAGCTTTGTGTAAAGGAAGTGGCTTTAGAATGGTTTACTGTATATCGAAAAATTATTAGTATGCTAGAATTTGATCTAGAATTTTTAAAATTTTAAAATGATGATTATCATGTGAGTTATCATGTGAAACGGTTTTATTAGATAAAAATAGCTTATACAAGGTTAATGAAAACATGAAAACAAAAAATTTATTTGTTTGTAAATTTATTTAACTCCTCCAAGACGCCTTCTAGATTTCTCTTATAAGATTTAATTTTTTCACAGCATACTCTACCAATTTTTCTTCAATATCTTTTCTATAAAGGTCTATATAACATCAACATTTTCTTGAGAATTTTCTAATGGTTGTCAAATTTACTGAATCAAGTTTTTCAGGAATAAGTTTTTGTAATTCTTCCCATAAATATCTTTTGGCAACGTCCCAATATCTCTCAATTAAATTTAATTTACAGTAAAACTTAGGAAAAAAATGCATTTATGTCCTGCATTTTCAATTAATTCTTTAATAGCACCTTTTAAAGTAAAAAAATCTGATTCTAAAGATATTACTTGACATACACAACAGGTAATTCTTAAAATGTCTTGAATCTTTTCTTTATATTCATTGTATTCTAATACTAATCCTTTAAGTGACCATTTTTCATACTCTATTAATATTTGTTTAATTCCTTTAGGTTTACCACGAAGTTTTTCATCATAATATGTTATTAGAAACACCATAGATTGTAACTGATTATTTGATCCAAAGTAAGTATTTCCATAATTGGTTATTTACTACTTGGATTTAGATTCATTCAGCTTGCAAGTAATACATCTTTATTAAAAGCAGCATGATTGAAACTATTATCAAAAGCAAATACAGCTACATAATCTGGATATAAAGCCTCAAAAATAGGAATTGCTTTATATTTAATTTGTTCAAGAAGATGCTTTACTATCTAATAACCCTTTTGATTTATGCCAGATTTTAAATAATATTATGCTTCTTCAGGTATGTAGGAATGATATTTATATCACTTGTTTCAAATGTAAACATTTATCAATTTCAATTAGAAACTCACTAAATATAATAGATTTTTCATTTCCTTTTTTCTGAAGTAGCATCTTACTATTTTTAGTTTATAATTCACGTTTTTCATCATTTGAATAAAAAATGCATTCATCATGAACCACAAGAACTCTTTCTTTTTCTCCCTCAAGTAAGTTAGGGTGTATTCGATCTATAAATTAACCTTCATATTTGGACATGTATTTTTTATGATCAAATATTTTTTTTTAAAAATTCTTTTCGATATTATAAGACATTCTATCCTCTCTTTCATGACCATCGTAATATATTCTACAGTGATATTGTTGAAATGAGTAACCAAGAACCTTGAGCCCTTTATTTTTATATAATAAATACAATTATTAATATTAATTAGTAATATAATACTTGCATATTTAGAATTACTTACATCTTGTTGCGATCATTATATTAATAGATTTTCTTTAATAATTCCAATAGGAGGAAATAATTCACTTTTAATGAAATTTTAAATGTGGCTGGTATGGTATTGAAGTTTTATTTTTAAATCTAAACATGACATCTTTTCACAACAGTTTATTGTTAAGTAACTAGTATATTATAAGTATTTTTTATGCTTTTCATACACCACTATCAATAAAAATTTTTTGAACCTCTAAACTAATATCTACCCTTTCATGCCTATTATTATTATTTAATAAGGTAAGATATTTAAATATTACTCTTTTATAATTATATTCAATAACTGTTAATTGATTATGCCCTATAAGAAATTTATATACAGAATTGTATACGATAATAATATGTTTTAATATTCGTAAAAAATGTATAAAATATGTATAATATATATGTAATCAATTACGTATACAAAATAAGGAAATTGTCAGAATTACGAATATTTAAAATTCATAAATTACGTATATTATA